CAGAACAAAAGGGACCGCAGAAATACAGTTAGAGAAATACTGGTTTTAATTAAACATAATTAAACTCTTGGCATCCATCATCTTGCTGCCTAAAATTTTTGGAAAACTGTTTGGGACAAGGCACAGTTCTCCCCTCATCCTTGTCCCGTCTCTTTACCGCCAAGAAAAGAAAAGGTTTCAATGAAAATGCTAAACATAAAAATAAAAATCTTGATATTTCTCTTTTTAAAGTGTAAAAAACCCCGCAAAACGTGTCAATGCTGTTTTGCAAGTCTATAAAATAGCACCAGTAAGAATTAAAAAGTTATTAAAAGCCATTCCAGCAGCATTTCTGAAATGCAGCTTGCTCTTCCCATTAAAAAAAAAAGACTTCTCAGGGCATAAAAAAGGGAGTTTTAAAATCTCTGCAGGGAGGCACCAGGTTTTATTGCAATCCCTCCTCCCACCCTGGGCCTTCTCTGCTAAGAGGGTAAAGCGAGAGGAAAGGGCAAGTGTGCTTTCTGCCCCAACTTCTGGGTTTAGAAAGAGGGTGAGGTCTAGGGGTATCACACAATCAAGGACCTGTGCCTGCGTCGGAGAGGGGTGTTCTTTTTGAAAGGGGTGGGGGGGGATGCCTCCATCTTTCATCTCACATGCCCTGGTATGGCAGATTGTGACACAGCCCCCATGCCTTCCTGAGCAGCCCCAATGGGTTCCATTACAATCGTTGGGAGGAGTTTAGTTAAGGGTGGGGTGGGGGAGTCCTGAATGTGATGATGACATCATACCTGCTGAAACCATCACCACTGAGCACTAGGAGACCAGGGCCCCGTGTGCTGAGTCAAGGGGACTGTCTGTGCCTGCTATATACATACCTGTCACTGCTTCTGCTGCTGGCCCTAGACAGGGAAACACCATCCTGGCCCCCGTAAGTGTCCTGTAGCTACACATATTGACACACAGTCTTTGAATTCCTTGGTGAACTTGTGCATAAACCTGAGTCTTGGGGAGCTGTCAGAAACATGATTTTGGGACCTTACCCATTGTTTCTCTGAGTGGTAAAACCAGGAGGGAAATTTTTTTTTAAAGGTAATCTTACTACCTATTTCAAGTTTTAAAGATACAGATAGGGGAAAAAAATGAGCACCATGTCTGGCTGTTCAAGGCAGCCAGGACTGATCTGTGGACAAGGTGGTAGCACCTCACGCAGGTGGCAACAGAGGCCTTGGAAAGGGCCCCCCCCCTTGCTGGAGAGGAAGGTGCTGCGTGCCCCCAATGAGAAGAGTAAACAGGTACAAGCTGGGTGACCCCAGCTGCACTGGGGCTGGGGAAGCCCCACTCTGAGTTCCTGGCCCTGTCTCCTCCTCAGTGGCCCCACCCCGACAGCAGGACTGGGGTAGGGCTAGTCACAAGCAAAGTAGTCCTTGAGGGGGGCGAAGAGATGTCTGATAACAGGCACGCTCCAGGACCTCCCGAGCAGCTTCTGGCGGGCGCCCCGGCCCATGTTGGACACGTCTGTGTAGTGTACGGGGAAGCCGAAGATCCTGGAAAGCAGCAGCGTGGAGAAGACACAAGTTAGAAATGCTGCCTGTACACGCCCTGCGTGGCTGAGGGTCTGCCCTACCGTGTGCCTTCTTTCAGGCTGGCCTTCCTTCAAAAGCCTGCACCTGCCCTGATCCTTCAAAACCCTTGATGGCAAGCGGTTATCCAGGGGGTATGTCCCCCTAGTCCTTCCTTGGTTCCAGGAAGGTCAACCCCCAGTGCCACAGCACCATGCTCCCAGGACACACTTAGTGCTCAGTAGGCCCTTTGTGA